TCTTCCATAAGCTCCATTTTAAGAACCTTCCTTTTGTGTAGATGTACAAGGTATCGGATCTGATTGTAGTTGTACCTGGGTTTTTCTGTAGTCACTTATAAGCAGGTGATTATATAGGTCAAAAGAAAAAAAGTTCTGAGAATATAGTGTTAGAGTTTCCCATTAAATTTCATTTTCTTCGCTTTTAAAATTTCTGATCTTTCTTCTTAAATCTCTCCCCTCTATACTTCCTTCTGTGCTCATTGACTTCTGCCATTCAGTGATCCCTCTCCTGCCCTCATACCGCTCTTCCTTTTTAGTTTTATCTTAGGCTTCAGTTTGACTCTTTGTGCAGCCCATCAGCCTTTTTATACTACCTAGAAATTCTTTTATGGGGTGCTTTGTGAGAAGTAGGCCTTTTTTTTGTTTTGTTTTGTTTTGTTTTGTTTTTTGGTGAGGAAGATTGGCCCTGAGCTAACATCTGTTGCCAATCTTCCTCTTTTTGCTGAGGAAGATTGGCTCTGAGCTAACATCTGTGCCCATCTTCCTCTATTTTGTATGTGGGATGTCACCACAGCATGGCTTGATGAGCAGGACATAGGTCCACACCTGGGATTCGAACCTGCACACCCTCGGCTGCGGAAGTGGAGCATGCGAACTTAACCACTACGCCACCGGGCCGGCCCCAAAACAGGCCGTTATTTATTCCTCATTTTGCGTTCTGGCAAGACCTTGAACATCAGCCTGCGTAGAGGGTAAAAGCAAATGAGCAATGATGACCACATACTGTTTTGTAGCCATGTCCTTATGTTTGGTAATTTTATATCAAAGCATGTGATCATGAAGGAAAAACACAAGGAATGCAGTATCTGGGTTAGCTCAGTAATAGCCACATGCAGGAGATAAAGTATTTTCAACCTGAAAACTATAGCAAAACAATATGTAGTCATTTGTCACAGTAGAGTATGTGTTCATTCTGAACCTCCAGCGTTCATACAGCAGAACCTGAGTGACTCTTGTACTGTATGATGGATGCAAAACAGTCTGTCACTGAATTTCTGGTATGGTTGGGGAGATAAGACATTAATTTATATGTCTGTAGTACAAGACCCAGTAAATGATTGAAGAGTGAGAATGATGGAAGGGTGATAAGGGAGGTTCAATCATAATTGGTAGTAAATTTTTGTAGCTAGAAGAAAGGGGGATGAGTAGAAATAATTGGAGTAATATTTAAGATTCTAAGGACATGATATAATATTCAACTAGATCTTGAAAGATAAGAACGTTTGTGGTGGAGGGACATAAAGAAAGGCAGGTAATAAGGTGTTTCCAGTGGGGGTTTCTGTTTGTAGAAAAGCGTGGAAGGCAGATATATTGAAGCATGCTCAGATATTGGATGATAGGCACATTTGACTACAACGCTAGATAAATTAGGGAGGAGTTGAAGTTACTATTGTTAAGATCTGACTAGAGAGCCCAGAGTGCCTTTTTAATTCATCAAGCAGTGGGTAGAATTGCTTGGGGGAAGTGATGCGGTTAGTGTTTTAAGAAGCTTAGAATATCGTGGTGGCATATAGAGAAAATTTTAGAAAGGTCTGTTATCAGTCAGGGTGGACTGGGTCAGTGGTTCTCAACCGAAGGTGATTTTGCATATCCCAGGGAACATTTGTCAATCCTAGAGACATTTTTAGTTATCACCACTGGGGCAGGGAGAGGTGATAAGAGGTAGGCCTACTGGCATCTAGTGGATAGAAGCTAGTGATGCTGCTACACATCCTATTAGACACAGAACAGCCCCCCACAACAAGAACCATTTGGCCCAAAATGTCAATAGTACCGAGGTTAAGAAAGCTTAGCTAAGGTATGCTGTGATAACAAACTGTCACAAGTTCTTAGTGATTTAAAACAGTAAAGATTTATTTGTTGCTTAAGCTAACTGTGCATACTTCATATCATCCATGTCTGTAATGGAAGCTGATGGAGCAGCCTCTCTTGGGAGCATTGTTCATACTTTATTGGCCAGAACTAGTTACGTAGTCTCCCCTAACCACAGAGAGGTGAGGAACTGTAGTCCTACTATCTGCCCAGAAAGAGGGTAAACTACCATATTTGATTAACAGCATTAGTTACCTTGGAAGGTAGGTTAGCTTGGAGTAGAGCAGTAGTTAGTAAGAGAGAAACCAGTTTCTTTATCTGTGCTGGCCTTCTTTTAGTTCTTCATTCTTTATTCCCTCACTGGAATAAAATCACAGTATATATGAAATGGGATTAGAGAAATGGAGTATTGCTGGATTATGAAGTAACTGGGCTGTTAGACATAGATTCTAGACCCGAGCTTCCCAGCTGTTGTTGGGAACATTACAGGTATGTCTAGATATTGACCTTAGCTCTTCAGGTAGCTGTGTAGGGCCTGAAGCAGTCAGAGCCTGCGGTGTGAGCAGCCCCTTCCGTTTATGTCCATGTGCCATACATGTATTATAATTTTATGTATGTGCAATGATATAAAAAAGTTTGGGAAGCTCTGCCTTAATCAGTGGGCTGTATTTATTTTAAAAATTCAATTGACTAAAATGATTTATTTTAGAAACAACTCTATTTGCAGTACAGAAGAGAGAGATATATTAGACCAGATGTATTAGGAAGCTGTCCTAAGAGTTTAGGTAAGAAAAGATGAAGATTGTTGAATGGTGACGCTCTTGAAAATAAATAGGGCAATGTGGAGAAAAAGAATGTTTATATTAGAGATGTTAAAATTGGGTTTAGAACGTGTTGAATAGAAGTAATTAACAGGAAATTGGAAATGTTGAACTTGAGCTCAGAAGAGAAAATGAGGCACTAGAATCCTCCTGGTCAGTCATACAAGTGTTTATAGAGTGCCTACTAGGTGCCAATTGAAGCCCTAATAGTACTTGGGAACTCTCTGGGAGAGTTGGGGGACCAAGGATGTGATCTAGGTGAACACATCTCTTAGGGATGGGAGTAGCACAGGAGCCAAAGAAAAGTGAGTCCAGACTACCTGTTGCCCAGTTGATGTCTTTGCCAGCTCTTCTAAATTCTCTTCTGCGTCATAGAAGAAAAATTGAGAACTACATTTCCCGGAATCCTCTTCCCCGTATGGTTCTCAGTTAGGGACTGACAATGAAAAGCACTCAGACAAAATTTTGAAAGTGGAAGAAGAGAGACTATTATCCTTCAAAGACTGTTATAGGTGTCCAAATGGACAGACAGCAGACTTGAAGCTTTTAGGGAGCTTCTGGAGAATTACCCATTTCCGTGCTGCAGGCTGAGAATGTCCATGATGACTCTCCTTTTACTCGTCCATCTCTAGCCATGGTTGAATAAGCCTCTAATTCTGTGTATTGGAATGCACAAAGTGGCTTCCTTTTTTCTGATGTAACCACGATTATTAGATGTTCTCCAGCACCCTGTACTTCTCCATTATACTTTATTATTTGTATTATTATTTGTTTATTTTCTGTCTTCCCTATTGGACTGTAAGCTCTCTGAGGGTGTAGACTGCATTCAGCAATCTGTCCCCAACACTTACCATGGTGTCTTATCACTTAATAGATTTGTGGAATGTTGTTGAATGCTGAAATAGAAAATAGAAGTAGAAAAGAATGTCTGGAAGGAGATTTTAATTAGAAAATATGACTTTCTATGAGGTGGTTAAGCAGAAAATGGGCTTGAGGAATAGCTGTTGAGTTTAGTGATTAGGAAGAAGTGGAGTTTTATGAAAAAACACTTTGAGAAGAGTGATTGGGGGCAGGATTTTAATTGCAGGGGTTAAGAAGAGTAGGTAGTGAAAGATTAGAGCTATTGGTTCAGACCAAGCAAGTAAACAAGCTTGCACAAGTGGGGAGAAAAGTAGATGAGCTAGAACATTGAAGTGAAGAGAAGGTTTTTCTGGACAGGTGGTTGAATTATAAAGCAAAAGATCAGGGGCCAGTGGAGTTGAATGACTGGAAATGATGGAGAAGGAGCTATTGACTGAAGCAGCAAATTCTTTCAATCCACAAGTTTTAATGTGCAGTTAACACTTTTAGACATTGGTTCCTAAATTACCACCCTAGAAGCAGAGTTAGTTGACAGTTTTCACTGTTTTGTGGAAAAATTAGAGATACAAGGGCAGTATTGTAAGTTTTCAATTAAACTCAGCATGTTCAATTTAGATTATATAATTCCTCCTTTTGGTGTTATGTTGACTTTTGTTTTTTATTAAACTATTAGGTAATGGTTGTTGATGTTGCTGTTCTAAATACCCCTTTTTGGAAAAACACTATTAACCTTATTTCATTTCACCCCATCAATTGTATTATTATTTTTTTGTGTGTGAGAAAGATCAGCCCTGAGCTAACATCCAATGCCAATCCTCCTCTTTTTTTTTGCTGAGGAAGATCGGCCCTGGGCTAACATCCATGCCCATCTTCCTCTACTTTATGTGGGACGCCACCACAGCATGGCTTGACAGGCGATGCGTCAGTGCATGCCCGGGATCCGAACCTGCGAACCCCGGACCGCTGAAGTGGAGGACATGCACTTAACCACTGTGCCACCGGGCTGGCCCCTCATCAATCTTATTTTTTTTATTTTTTATTTTTTTGTGAGGAACATGGGCCCTGAGCTAACATCTGCCAATCTTCCTCTTTTTGCTAAGGAAGACTGGCCCTGGGCTAACATCCATGCCCATCTTCCTCTACTTTATATGGGACCCCGGCACAGCATGGCTTGACAAGCTGTGTGTCGGTGCGCGCCCGGGATCCGAACCAGTGAACGCTGGGCAGCTGCAGCGGAGTGCGTGCACTTAACCGCTTGCGCCACTGGGCCGGCCCCTCAATCTTATTTTTTAAATCTGGTTCACAAAATTTAAAAGTCTGAGAACACAATGCTTTATAGATTTAGAAAGAACAAAAAAGACGCTCTTAATTTTCTGAAATTTTTTGAAATCTGAAACAAGTAGAGTTTATAAATGACATATATCTAATTGGCAAATAATAGGAAAAAATTTTTTTTTATTTTAGATGAAGATCGTCTTTCTAGAAGAAAAAGTATTGTGGACACCGTATCCATTCAGGTGGATATTTTACCCAACAGCATTCCTTCTGATGATGTGGTAAGTTGCTGCAAGTGTGTGGCAGAGTACCATCTTGAGATAGACATCAGTTTAAAGGAGTTTTTTGCCCTTCCACATTTTCAAACAGGAACAAATACAACTCTAAATTATCCCCAAATCCAAAAAATTGTTAGTGGAAACTAATCTGATTTAGCCTTGAACTTATTTATAATTTTACTAAACTCTTTTCAGCTCTCTATAAAGATACGTAGACTTAACATTGTGTGTTATGATACCATTAGATTTCACATTGTAATTTAGTGTAATGAAAGGAACCATAAAACATAACAAGTATCATTTGTTTTATAAGTAAAAAATGTTACATAAGGCCTGTTATTAAATTAGGAGGCCCTTTAGATCCTATTTATCTTTAAAGATTTATGAAACATAAATTATGAGAATAAATGGAATTATACACTCTCATGTGAAGGCAAATGCTCACTACTTTTAGAAATTTTAAAACTTTATCTATGAGGGAGAATTTTTGTCATTTTGGATAGTAAATCTAATCAATTTAATGTAGGTTAAGCTTTATCAATGTCCTATGTACTCTTTAAAGACTGTGGCTTATTTGAAAAAATCATAGATTTAATGCTCTCCTCGTGTTTCAATAGAGCACAAGAGTGTACCCTCCTGAGTTATAGGAAGAAAAAGCCAGTATTCTCTAGGACTTACTCCACACAAACCACCGGAGAATTGTGTGATAGTCAAGTAAAAGTGTCGAAATACCAGCACGTCAAGTCCTCCTTGTGGTTTATCCATTGTTTGCCTTCCTAGGTATTTCATTATTTCCCATTGGTACAATATAAAGAGTTAAAAGAATATCCCTCTAAGAAAAGGGGAAGGAAGTTGTCTGAATTCCTGCTTTCTCAGCCTCCTTTCTCCTCCCTCCTTCCAATCCCCATCAGTTAGTTTGTCTTCAGGAATTAAAACTATTTGGTGGCCAGGATACAGCTGACTAACTTAAATCCTCTATGCTGTTCAGTTCTCCCTTAATCAGTTTTATTAAATTACTAGGAGAGCATCAAGAGTAGATGAAGAGGAAGTCAGTGTTCATTTTGAAACTTAGGGTGTTAAGGTTCATTTAAAGTTTCTTGCCAATTTAAGGCTAAATTCACCTCTTCAAAGCCATTTTAATTTGTACGCTACTTACTTGTAAGGAGAGTATCTTGTTAGCTTTGTCTTTTAATGATTATGAGTTTGCTGCTATTAACTTTGAGGGAAGAAATGCACCCAAAGTCTTGGTTTATACGCTTTATTTTGTTAACAGTGCAGTATATTTTATTGACTAGTATTATTCCATTCTCCTTTTATTAACCATTTTTATTTCTTTTAAAAAATATATATATCTATATAGCACTTCAAACTGTTGCAGAGAATGTCTGTTTTGATAAAACTGAAAAAACATTTGCATAAAGATTTAATATAGGAAGAAGATTCTTGAACATGAATTTTACATTAAAAGTCCATGAATACATTTGTTAACTTGTTAAAGATCCTGTTGTTTTCCCTTTGCTATAAGTTCTAAGTCAAATATTCCTCACACTGAGCATTTGAAAAGTTAAGTACAGTTTAATGTAAGATGTTCTTGAGCACATTGGAGTTTCAAACTCATTTACCACTATGGAATCTGATTTTGCATATTAGGAATGATTGTTCAAATACCAGAAGACAGAATAACATTACCTTCTAGGCTAGAACTAATTGATTTCGTAGCAAGGACAGGAGAAATTTGCATCAGTTAGGTATTCACCAGTTAATGGTGTAACAAAATATCAAACTATGAATAAGTCTGTTTGCTAACCATGAATCAGATAAGAAAATTGCTCATTTGAAGAAATATTACTCTTATATTTGATTAAAATTATTTGAAATTTTATTACATAATCCTGTTATTCCTCAGCTATATCTGATACTTGCTTTTAGAGCTTATAACTTAAAAAAAAGAAACAAAAAGAATCAAGATTGTTTAGGTGCAGATCATAGCAAACTTCTGTTTTCCCTAGGTATAACTCAGATTGTTACTATAGTCTATTAAAATACCTGGTCCACCTGAGGTATTTCAGTTCTAACATTGGCAATTCAAACCTTATCCCACCGTGAATCATTTAGTGAACTTTGCCATACATGTATGAAGATACCTAAATAAAGATACCATATATCTATGTATATACACAAAGATACCTAAATAAAGATACCATATATGTATATCTTCGTATATACCCACCTATCATATATATATATGAAGATACCTAAATAAAATTAAGATATTCAAGAAGATAAATGGCTAAAATGGAATACAGGCATCTCTGCCTCCTGAGATAAAATTATCAGCTTGACTAATAGAGTAAAGCACCGTAGGTATGAGTCTCTGATCTCTGGTGCTCTCTTTGAGCACTATAGGCATGAATGATATGCATAATGGATATGAGTAAACCCTGAAAACACCACTCAGTTCTTCTCTCTAAAAGGTAACAGTAAGTGCTTGATTATTTGGGGGAATGGATGGGAAGTTATATAATAGTAAATTTTGAGTACATGTTAAATTTTTCTATGCATAAAATTAAGTCACTGGTTGGCTGAAAAGGATTATTGTTTATTCTAGGACAAATAACAGATCTTTGTTTTATACTTACATATTGCTGCCTTTTCCCCAGATGTAACTGAAGAAACCTTGCATGTGTGCTAACAAAACAAGAAGTCTAGTGTCAAGTCAAGGTTATTAGTCAGAACCTGCTGTGCCTAGGTGCTGTAAGATTACTAACGTATCAGTGCAAGTACCTAACAACTAGTCTGACTGGGAAAAGATGAATAGCAGATTTTACACAGGCCCAAGGGTGTTATAGAGTCTAGGTTAGAGTTGTAGATCATGAATAAGGCAAAAATCATAAAGAGGAAATGAAAGGAATGTTGAAACTCCTCTAGGATTATGCCTTTGCACTGTTGCTCTAACTCCAACACAACCAGTTTTTCCTCTCGAGTCAGAACAGGTTGTAGTATGGTTAAGCACCAAATCAAGTAGGTGGCTTGCATTTAGCAGCTACATTATATGAAAAATATGAATCATTAAACATTAGTATAAAGCAATTGGTCTTTTTTTTTTCTTTTTAATAGGATTCAAAAAAGGGAACAGTGGGAAACAAGATTGAAGCCAAATTATGGAAGGTTTTATCACCAGCCTGGGGGCTTCATATGTAATTTGGTAGGAAGTAAGGAAACACTGAAATTCGGCAGTGTCGTTATCAGAGCAATGCTTTCCTAAACGAGTCTCAGCGTAACTAGGCTAAATTGGGAAGAAGAAACTGGAGGAAGAGAGGCTAGTTAGGGGATCCCTGTAATAGTCTACACTTAAGGTGATGAGCACCTTGAGTGGCCAGCCTGGAGATGGGAAGAGGGACAGGAGAGCAGGAGCACCCTATTCTAGAGGCAGATGGGGAGGACCAGCAAGGTTCTTGAAAGGATTTAGAGAAAGGAGGTGAAAAAACAAGTAGAGGGACAGAATTAGTTGAAAGTTTTTGATGCTAGGAGACTGCATCATAATTATCTGAATTAAGGAAAACAAGAACAAATAGGGAAGAAGAGTTATTAGGTAAAGTACTTTTACCTTTTCACTTATCCGAGATTGAACAGGTAATAAGTAAAAATTGCATGTGACAAGAATACTGGCCTTCTCACTTCTCTTGTGTTCCTTCTCCTATACTATAGTTGTTACTCAGAATCTAAAGCTCTTAACCAGTTGTAAGAACAGTAGTGGATTTTTTCATTGAAGTACTAGATTGCTTCTAGGTACAAGTAATTGACCATCCAGAGCCTAATCTTGTATATCTGCTCCAAATATCTAGAACAAAGCAACTGAAGATCCCCAAGTTTAATCTGACTTCAACTAGAAATATGAACCCTCAGTAGAAAAACTGAGGTAGTGGAACTCTTGCTGCTTGATTTCCAGCTAAAGCCTTTGTATTACAGAGAAGCTAAGGTGCAAAGCATGAAGTCCTTTGCTTTCATTAGTCTTGCTGCTTTAGACTAGCAAAAGAAGCCCATGAGCTAAAATTAGGGATGACCAGAATCCCAGGCAAGTACTCATGTATCATTTCTTAATTTTTATTCAGAGATACTGTAGTAACTGGATATATTATTCCTCCTGAATATGTGTTGGTGCCACAAAAAATATTACTTTTTTTTAATCATAAAGAAGTTGATTTCATACCTTTTACATATCTCAAAGCACGAGAGAGGTTTGAAAACCCCAAGTTAAAGGTTATTTCCGGAGAATGAAACTTGGTGGTTGACCTTAGAAGATCCGGAATATGATTATTTTAAGATGTTGGTTAACTATACTCATGAACACTTCCAAAGTAGTGATTCTTGCTTTTAAACCATTCAAAGTTTTAGATTATTTCATTTTTGATTTGTACACTGTATGTGGTACCAAAATTATGGAGGCTACTTAGTTTTCATTTATTACATGGCTGAAACTATATATATAATCTCTGCCTTGGCTCTTTCAAAGCATTGTTCACTTATGAAGCATAGTTCAGTCAGTGGGACTCAAATCTTATTACACATCACATTACTGGAGATTGTGTTCTGTAACTCAGCAGTGGTTGGGTTGCCTAGGGGATGTTAATTCTGCCAGCCTGACGTTAATCTGTAGACTTGTTTGGAGAACCACTGCAGTGGGCCATTGAACCAATAAGAACCTTATTGGTCCAACCAATAAGAAGGTGGAGATTATTTGGTACTGTGCAGTATAATCACAAATCAAGCCAACACAAAGCAGAAAAAAATTTCTGAAAGTTCTTAGATGACTTGTAACTTGAAGGTATTATTTATATTGATCTTTCTTAACTCTTTATTTTACTTAAAATCACTTTTCTCTAGGTTAGTAACACTGAAGAAATCACCTTTGAAGCATTAAAGAAAGCAATTGGTGAGATTTTTGCACTTGTTAACTTTCCTAATATTTTGCAAACTTATCTTTATCTTAGTACTTGTTTAGATGCCATAATAAATAGAGGCGGCATGGCAAAAATATATATATACCGTTGATTTCTGTATAAATGTATAATTGATTTATTTAGCTGCGTTCTTTAGGCTTTTACAATTACCTTATCATAGATAACTCTCTTCCTTTATATAGACTGACTTTTCTAGACTTATGAAGGTGTGTCACAGTGTATTTTAATGCTACCCTTATGTGATGGCCAGCTTTCAGGCTGCATGAACTTAGGAGAAATAGTCAGTGCATTTCCTTTGGTAGGAGATGTGGGGATGAAAATTCTGAGAAAATTAAATAGAGTGATTTTTAATAGGAATATATAGTAGTATAATTAGAAGTGTGTTTATAATGGGGTAAGAGGAAGGAGCTGGCAGAGATTGTCAGCAGGCATGATAGAGTATCATGTGAATCCTTGCTGTTTTATCAATGAGAACATTGAGGCAGAGAAATTAACAAACTCTCCTGAGATCACATAGCTAGTAAATGCTGGAGCCAAATTTCATACCCAGGTCTGACTGACTCTTTAGTCTTTTCACTTATCTTTGCATAAAATATTACTCTGATTTTTTTCTCCTTTGGCCTTTATGGAAGTAAATTTTGTCTCACATAATTTGCCTCTTTATTTTAGAATGGTTCCTTCAATTAAGTAGTAATATTAATTACTACTAGGCTAATGGTGCCTTGATCTTAATTCATTTCTCATTGATAAAGCATTATACGATGGAAATTGGCTCTTATTTTTTCAGATATCAGAATAAGAAAATCATTATAAAGGGAAATGAAGTGTTCTAGCACCCATCACACATGAAATAAAATCTGACCTTTTTCCTCTTAACCCATAGAGGATTTTTTTCTTCTTGTAGTACATTATCAAATTTGCCCAAATAAAATTAATTGAATTCAGTAAGCAATGTGTGAACACTCATTATGTGCAAGATACTCTGAGGCATTTAACGATTAAGACATGTTGAGGAATGTACAGTCCAGGGCGTGGTTCTCAAAGTATGTCTGTGGACCCCTGAAGGGCCTGGAGGAGACTCTTTCAAGGGATCCATGAAGTCAACAAGTATTTTCATCATAATACTAAGACATTATTTTTTGCCTTTTTGATTAACGTGAATGAAGGCAGTGGCACCACATGCTCGCAGTTATTTTTAAAAAGCAAGATTTTACTTAATACCCTTTATGAATCAGTATAAATTATTACTTTAATTATTTAATCTCAACCCATGAGTATCTTTGGGAAGTACACATAAAAAGCACTTCTTTGATTGCCTTGATTTGCAAGCTGAACTAGTCGTTTTTTACAAGGAACACCATTTTTACTTAAAAAAAAAAAAATAACAAAACCTGTGTTATTTGGCAGACATTTTCTGGAAAATAAATGAAGTGATGTCACTTCAAGTGAAAAAAATAAAACACCCTGACAGTATTTGCTCGCAATGATAAAATTAGCACTTTTGAATAAAATTAGAATTTTGCAACTGTCTGCCACTGTGAGTTTGACAGCTCCCCAGTATTTAAAGACTTTTCTCACGAGATCAGTGGTAATAACTAACAAATGTGACTTGTTAAAAAATGTTTTATATAATGAAATATGTCTACGTTTAGGGGACCTGCGTTAAGTCAGTGGATCAGTATTCCAAATGACCATTTGCATGATGTTGCAAAATTGTGCATGAGTAAAGATCTGTTCAAAGTGTCAAGTAGATCAATAGATCAATTGGTTTTAACATAACCATTTACAAAAAGTTTATTAATAAGGTTTCAAGTTCCATATTGCAACTAACTTTTAAGAAACTACCACTTGCCAAGTTTTGTTGTAGTGTCCCAGAAGAAATATCCACAATTCTGTGAAAAGGCTATTAAAATACTCTTCCCTTTCCCAATACCTGTCTGTGTGAGGCTGGGTTTTCTTTATGTACTTCAACCAAAGGAACATATTGCAGCAGATCGAGTGCATTTGTAGATAGAAATGAGCTGCCTCCTATTAAGCCAGACATTAAAGACATTTGCAAAAATATAAAACAATGCCACTCTCTCACTAAATTTTTTCATTTTGGCAAATATGATTTTTTTATTAAACAAATGTTATTTATGTTAATACATAATGGTTTCATTATTTTTAAATGAATTAATAAATATTTTTAGTTTCTCAGTTTTATATACTAATATGGAAAATATCAATAGATATAACATGCATTGAAAAACGCTGTTTGAGGGCCAGCCCCGGGGGCCTAGTGGTTAAGTTCAGCGCTCTCCACTTCGGCAGCCCAGGTTTCGGTTCCTGGGCGTAGATCTACACCACTCTTTTAGCGGCCATGCTGTACTGGCGACCCACATACTAAAAAATAGAGGAAGATTGGCATGGATATTAGCTCAGGGTGAATATTCCTCAGCAAAAAAAAAAAAAAAAAGTTATTTGGTTTTCTCAATAATTTTTAAAAGTGTAAAGGAGTCTTAAAAACATAAACTTTGAGAACTGCTAGACTAATGCGTGGAAAGCACACTCACTGCCTGCAGGCTGAATTTAGGTGGAAGCATTATTTTCAGAAATTGAATTTGAATACTTAAGAGCAGGGATGTGTGCTCAGCTTGCCCAAGTCCCCATGTTTCCTGCTGCTTTTGCCTGACCTACTTTAAACACTTATGTTTCTTGCCTGGCCCCTGGCATGTTTGAGCTGGTGACCCTGGTCTAGTGAACAACAGAGAAGTGATCATAATTCTGCATTATAGTCACTCAGAAGTACATAAATTCTTCAACTTTGTTAACCTGCCACAATTTCAAAGGAAAAAAAAATAATGCCTGTTTCTCCCTTTGCTATTTCCACTTTTTAAAACTAGCTAGTTGTTATCTACAATTGTCTACTTGAAAAGCAGCTTTGTTTAAAGAACTTTGAATATAGTGCACTTCATCCTATGAAATTCTTGACCAGGGAAAAAAAACCCTGAAGAATTACTGGGTGTTTGTTACAGTAGACCATCAATAAATAAGCCATAAGTTAGCCTTCTTTTCATATTTTTAAGCAAACAGACTCAGTTATTATATCAGTAGTATGAAAAAGACATTTATTATTTTCCAAAGTTTTTCTCACAAACTTTGGCCAGACCACACATCATCTTAAGATAAAACATCCCTCTTCAAAATGTGGTAATTAAATGGACAAGGCTAAAACAATGTGGTTCTAAATGACCCTCCCTGTATTTCAATTATGCCATTCAGTATCAAGTTGTATTAATTTAGTACCTCATGTGTGCAGAGGCATGATTATTAATAAAAGAATCATCCTTCGGGAAGGGCCTTGAGGTTGTTTGATTTGTAGGAAGTTATCATGTTCCTGCTTTTTTGGTGAGAGAGACAGAGGTTGTCTAGGAAGGAGGGTCTCGTGCTGTGTAGTTTCAACCCTTAGATTTTTAAAATTTTTTTGTACATGTGCTTTTTAGCCTTAAGACATTTCAAGGATGTTACACCTTTTGCTTTTTTCCTTATAAAAGTAGTCCAGTAAATTACCCTTATTTTGGGTTTATAGATCATTTGCTCTTATGGTCATTGGCAAAGTTCTATGAAATTCTGTATTCCTTTTAACGGGTCTTTATAAACATTTATATAGATACCAGTGGAATGGAAGAACAGGAAAAGGAAAAGAGGCGTCTTGTGATAGAGAAATTCCAGAAAGCACCTTTTGAAGAAATAGCAGCACAGTGTGAATCCAAAGTAAGTGAACAAATGGTGAGGGGGGGTGAGGGTGGAAGTGGAGTTGGATTTTGTGGAAACTTCCTTGGTAATCGGGGAAGTTGGGAGGTTCCAAGCTTTTGGCAGATCAGCAGAGCACAAGATCATGTATCAATAGACACTGAACTCTGAAGGCATAGCTATGAAGCCTGAATAATTTCTTTGTGTAATATAAGCTGATATAAACGGCACATCTCAAACTAAATATTAATGATTGTTGTTGCTTTGATACTTTTTGTGCAGTGGTTTTCCATGATTTTGCTGCGGGTATTTTGTTTTATGAGTCTATCGGTTTGTTTTTACCAGTGAGAATAGGAAAGGAGTAAAAGAGAAACTTTACTTTAAATTCCAATATATGAGACAGACGAAACCAAAACATTAAAGCATTCTGTACCATCAGCTAATAGTTACAGTTATGCTTTGTCCTTGCATTGTATTATTACATATGGGTGTTTGGGAAATAATGAATTTATTCTTAACTCTTTTTTCTCCTTTTAGGCAAATTTGCTTCATGATAGACTTGCTCAAATATTGGAACTCACCATACGGTAAGGATTTTGTTACTACAACTGAAATAAAACAAAACAAAATAGAAATAGAAACTATTAGACCCTATAAATTTGTTGCTGATTGTGTTTAAGTAACTGTGCTTCTCATTTAGGGTACACACAAGGTCATGTAGCTACCTTTGTCATAGTCGTCATTCTGTTTACTGGATAGAATCTGGTATAATTTCTTGTCCGGGTATTTTCTAGCTTTCCTAACTTTCATTTTTAGATCATTCATTCCTTCAAAATGGTCCTTTAAGGACATCTGGATAATTTGGAAGACTTGCATTCTAATGATATGTTTACCCAGGTAGTTTCTCATATTTAACCATTTTGACCTGCAAAAACTACAATTTAATATGGTTGAATCTCATAGGTCTTTCCAGGGCAATAATGATTCTACCTATGCAGATGGCTCATTTGAATTCTTAAACTTTCCTTGAGTTTTCCTCAGTTGTATCCATTTGAGTCCTCTTATAAGTTGTTTTATGCTCAAGAACATATGGGTGTAACATACTTTGGTTATTCTGTGTCTGTTGGTTATTAAGTAATGAAGCACATGACAGAGCGAGAGACAAACTACAGGTCCCATCTAAGGAAGAACTTCTGCATATTCTTATATCGACTTCAGTGTGGAAACTGGCCTTTGTGTAATGTGGCACATACAGGAGCCATAGAGAGAAGCTATGCTTCTGGAATGTTTTTCAACATCAGCTGTATCTTTTATATTTTTGACTTAGCTAAGTCTGTTTTGTTTCAGTCTCAGTATCCTCTAAATAGAAAAGGCAGGTGGATACTCTAGTCCACTTGCTTTTTTATTCCAGTCTTTTTTCTGCTCATATGCAAGGCATGTTTTCATCAGTATCACATCTTATTCTAGGCGTTTCCTCACCATTCCTGCCACCCTCCACTGAGCGTGGCAGATTCACTCCAAATGAGTCAAGAATCACTCATTTACAAAATTTCAGAAGAGAATTGGACTAAAATATGCAATATGTGATATACCTTAGATTCAGAGAAAATTGCTGGGTATGGACATCTATTTCTTTGATACCTATTGTGACAGTAAATGTCTACCCTGCACTTGGTCTTATGCTACATGCGTTATATCTGTTATTTTTGCTAATCTTCACCACAGCCCTGAAAAGTTAGGTAGATGCTTCTTTTTTCATTTTCCAGATAAAGACATTGAGAGTTAGAGAAGTAAAGAAACTTGCTGAAGGCCATCCAGCTAGTGAGTGGAAAAATCAAAATTCAAATTCGTAACCCATGTTCTTAAATGGAATGTTGCTAGGGACCACCATGTTATATTTAATCACACTGTCATAACTATGTGGGTTAATATTTTAGAATAAGTATTATGACTAATTATGTTTTATGGGTAGTGCAACTACTACTAGTAGTGAGCATTTATTGAACACTTACTACTAGTAATTAACATTTATGGAATACTTCTGGTGTTCTAGGCACTGTGCTAATAAGTGCATTATTTCATTTAATATTTACAACAGACCTAAAATTAAGTAGTGATTATTTTTACTTTACAAGTGTAGAAACAGAGACACATAGAAGTTAGATAACTTATCCAATGTCACCTAGTTAGGAAATAGTAGTTCTGGATAGCTTACATGATACAGAGAAATTAAACACACTTCTTGGTGTGCCCTCAGAGCTTTCAGTTCCAGTTTGATATGTTTCCTCTTGTTAATTTGCCTCACTTTAAGCACTAGACAGAGGAAAGTTTGTATTCTCTAGAAAAGAAACAAAATAATCTTATACTTTGTTCTTTCATTCACTTTGACTTTAGTACAATAAAAAAAATTACAAGAAATGCAAAGAAGCTGGAAAATACAGTAAGAATAAGCAGCCCCACAGATGACCCAATTATTGGAATTGTAGACAAGGATCTTAAAAGAACACACACACACAAACATCAAAGAATTTAAAGAAAAAGATATATATATTTTAGGAGAGAGATGGAAACTCTAAAAAAGAACCAAATTATAGTTCAAAAACTAAATGATATAATACCTGAAAGAAGAAGTTTCGTTGGATGAGCTTAACAGTCTACTGGACATTATTGAAGGACATTATTGAAGAACTCTTAATATGTTGCTCATGGGAGTATAAAATGGTACAAACACTTTGTAAAACTTGAGCAGTTCCTTATAAAGTTAAACACATACCAGATATTAATCCTGTAGTCCCATTTCTCAGTATTTATCCAGAGAAATGAAAACTTATATTCACAAAAAGACATGCACATGAATGTTTTAGCAGCTTATTCATAATTACCAAATGTCCATCAACAGGACAATGGATAGACAAATAGTGATATTCTTAGTATAGTTAAATACTATTCAGCAGTAAGAAGGAGCACCTTTTTTTGATAAATCTAAAAAAACATATTGCAAAAGAAATCAGAAATAAAAGAGTATAGCTTTTATGGACCATTCCTGTAGGTTCTATAGACCTTTCCTATGAAATTCAGGAACAAGGGACACTGATCTTCAGTGTTAAAGATCAGAACATAGTTGTTGGGTGTGGGTGTATGTGTGTGAGTACATGGGAGTAGGGAGAAATTGACTGCTTAGGGACACAAAGTGACTTTTTAAATGATGAAAGAGTTCGGTATCTTTATTGGGATGTCATTTATGTGGTATATACCTTTGTCAATTCTTGTCAAACTTAATATCTGTGCGTTTCACTCTGAAAATTATCCCTTAATAAAAAATAATGCACTATAAATATTGGAATGGTGATTGCAAAATACTTATTAGTTGCCAAAAATAGAATAATGTGTCAGGATAATATAAGAGAACCAATTGAATAACTTAAATGAGAACAATTTACAATTAGATAATGGTATGAAGTTAATATTTGTACACGTAATAATTAATGAAAATTCATTACCATATGAATGGTAATGAAAATTCATTACCATATATGCATAACTATAAAATACTAACAATATGACTTACATGAAATAACTATAAATCTCTGAAATATGCATAAGAATACTTAATAAATGGAAACTCATACATTGTTATTGAATAGGAAGTTACTATGTTAGACATCAGTTCTCTGTAGATTAAACTATAGTTTTAGTCAAAATCTTCACAGAACTTTTTTTTTATATCTGAACAAATGATGCTAAAGACAGTGTGGAAAAATCTGCATATAAAGCAGTCAGGAAAATGGAAGAAGAAAACAAGGGAGCATTTGCCTTGCTAGGTTGGAAAACGTGATAGATCTTTGGTACTTACAACAGGTTGGACTTGTTGTGGTAAGTAGTGCAGAGGAAAATTCAAAAATAGAAATATTGGAGGTAAAGATAAGATTTCAGATTTTCAAGCAAAAGAGCAAATGTTCAATAAATTTTGTTTGGATAGCTGCTAAGGCTATTGACTAGCAAAGGACGGAAGATTCTTACTTCACTTCTTTTACCAAAATAGAAAATTTTAACTCTTATTTAGTAAAATACATAGAAATTCTAGAATTTATACAGGAATATTTTTTGTAATCTTGGTCTGGGGAAATTTTCCTTAACATAACACAAAAACTAGAAATCCTAAGAAAATCATTGATTTTTTTGTAAAGTTTTAAGCATTTGGCAAAACACACACGGCTGAGAATTAGATAATGAATTGTGGAAAAACATTTGTATCGTATGACAAAAGATTAGTTGCCCATATTCAGAGAAAAATTTTTGAGTACAAATATAGGCAGTGGACTCAGACAATTCATTAAAGAAACATAAAATGGATATTAAATCTACAAAGATATTTAGCATTAGTATTAATGCCACTACATTAGTCATAACTCAAAAAGTTGAAAATAAAAATACAAAGTCCCATTTGCCTGTGACGTTGGCAAAGATTTAAAAAAAAAAAGATTTCTTATACCAAATATTTATAATGGTATAAGAGAACAGGTACACTGAGGTGTTGCAAGTATAAATTGCTGGTATTCTGGCAATATGTATCAAAGTCAAAATTGTGAGTACGCTTTGATCCAGAAATTCTGTTTGTAAGACTATAAACCACAGTCAGGATAAAGTTACGTATGTATAGGAATAGACTTGTGAGCATTATGTATAATAATGAAAAATAGAAATGAACTTGTGTTTTTCCACTGGATTAAATCAGTTACAATATATCCATGTAATGAAATACCATGCTGTCATCAAAAAGGATAATATATGTATGTAAGAAACTTTTTTACTAGTGAAACAAAGCAAGCTTACAAGAATGGGTATAGTGTAATCCCATTATAAAAAAATATATATACATATATTCAAAAGAAAATGTCTGGTTTAGACTTAGAAAACAGCTTGATACCGCCATGATGTATTTCCCGTACAGCCTTGTAGCTGGCGAGCAGCTGTATCACAATGATCCCTGCAATGAAGGAGTCTTAATCTGCTGTTTGCAGGTAGTCATTAAAATGCTCTGTGAAATGAACAGCTTTTAAATGTACCTGTTGACTGTGCTTTATTCTTCTTTTACAGTCCTCCTCCCAGTCCATCAGGAACACTGACCATTACTTCTGGGCACGCCGAATATCAGTCTGTCCCAGTCTATGAGATGAAGTTTCCAGATCTGTGTGTGTACTGAGTGGCTCATGAAGACCTCAGCATAGGATTTTAAAGCCTAACAATTAAGGTCAAGCTGAGTTTTCAGGGTTTACTTAATGCATTACCAACATACTCCCTGAAAATAATGGTGGAAGTTTTCTTTAACCAAATGCTTGGCATTTCATATCAGAAATTTTGGAACTAAATATGACTTACAGTACTTTTGAAAATAGATTTATGCCATGTTAATTTCTTCTGAGATTCCTGTTGGCTTTTAAAGTTGAACATGTGTTGGTCTCACATTATTCCATTGTTAAACAGTATATTTTAAACTTTTCACAAACATAATTAAAAAAAAAATTAAGCTTTCAGAGGATTGAAGATATATCAAGTGTCTACTACGTTTCTTAAACGTCTACACAACTGCTTAGAAATAGAATTGCCTTTGTTTTTGGTTATTGGCAAAAGCAAAACATACAAATATGTTCCTGATCCTGGGGCTGCAAAACTGTTCTGTGGCTTTTTGTCCCCATGTTTTAGGTGTTGTGCTGGGCGTCCCTTTATTAATACGTTTACTGTAATAACGTGGTAGGCATTCCTTGACTTGTGTATGGTAATATTACATCTGTGAGTAATATTCCTAGAATATGACCCTAAAATCGCCGTACTTTAAAGTGTCTAGTTCTTGTAATACTGTGTATTCTGCAGAGAGTTTGACCATTCTACTTGAGAGGCTTAGAGCTTACTCTTGGAGTACCGAACTGTGCAATATTTTTTACATTATAAGGTGTATTAGTTTACAGACTGTGCTTTGAAATTATAGTAGTATTTTGCTGTGGCTCCGTTAATTAAAAGAGCTATATATCTAGTATAGAACAAAAAGACATTTAAAACAGCTACTAGTTCACCTGTGAAGAGTGTGTACATTTTGATTTCTATTAAGAGCACATTAATTTACATTTTTATATTGTGCATTATTTTAAATCCTCATGGTCAAAAAATTACCCAAACGGACTTTGAATTTATAAGATCTAAACCATAACTTGTATGCATCTCTGTTTAGGATTTGTTATATTACATTTGAAAAGAGTGCCTATGGTTTTAGCAATTAAGTGTGCTAGGGATCGTCAATTTAAGCTTCTGTTGATTTAAATTACCAAGATTACATGTGCTGACAGTCCCGTAGTGTTTTCTTACCATTATGTACTTTTCAGTGAATTCCATGACCTGGCAAAATGAACAACTTTCTTTGCAACTCTTATAAAATTCTTTTAGGACATTTTTATAAAAATAACCTCTTTATAATTCTAATACATTTTCAGATTTGATTTTTTTTTTTTTTTACCTAAAACAGTATACATATCAAAAATTGTAGCTCAAAAAACAATTCAGTTTGTAGCTTTTGTTTTTGTTTGAAAAGTTGCAGTGAAGAATGGCATGCTGTAACTTTGTGATTATGATTATTTGGGCAACTTTAGTAGAAACAGAAAAAAGTAAGGAAGTGATAATAGAGCAGGCATACTCAAAATTTTCTGAATATTTAAACCAAAGTACAGCATCTTGAAACATCTTGCAAAAGATCCTAGTCATTTAAACCTATAAAATGCTACTCAAACATCCTGGGTGCTTTATTAAGTGTAGATAAACAAGACCTTGTTTCAGAGTAGTCGTGCAGTCCCCACTGGGGTAATGGCCCTGCTGCACTGTCACTGTAACTTTGCCTCTTGATCAGGTAAGATCTTTCAGTATTTAATAGGCCAAGTTTTATGTTTTTTAGTTCCCTTTTTTTCTTCTGTATTTTTAAAGAAGGGTATTAATTTTTGTGCATTTAAAAAAAAGCAGGGGGACATGCAAAAACAATCACCATCCACTTGGATGTCATTTTATAGATTAACACTGTGTGCTTTTGTATGAAAAAATATATATAATTTAATAGTATAAGAAAGGAGGATATATACTCATTTTCACTCATGCAAAACAAAATTTGCTCTACAAAATTTCGTGTTTCTCTGTGACGTAAAAATGCATGTATTGCATGTAAAGAAAAACCGTTTCAATTAATGTTTATCACATCTTTCTCTGGGTCTGTTTGTAAACTGTCGATTTGGGTTTTGTGGGGTTTTTTTCTTGTTGTTGTTGTTTTTAAATCACAGTAGACTTCTGTATATCCTAGATTACCGAACTGGTCTTTCTAACAATGATTCCCAAGAAATGGATCTTTTCTTTGGCTTATCCCTTCCAGGAGGTTGCAGGAGATCCTGCAGGTGATAGGTATGCATATTGTATTATAGCCAGTTTGGATACTGAAAGTTTAGGGTTTGTTGAAGTTCACTGTATTGCTATATTTTTGTAGATATTTAAAACTCTTAATAAACTGTTAATCATTCTGTTTTTGCTGTATACGATTGCTTATATCATTCATTTTTTTTCTTGACATTGAATAGTTAACATGTAAATGTTCCTCCTATACTTGTGTTGTCTCTCACTGCTTATATAGAGTTTGAGGTCATTGGAGTTTATCTGAACACACACATACACTCTCTTCCTTAATACTTCTGAACTCATTATTTTTTAGAATAATGCTACACTTTACCAGCAATTAATTTCTCCCTCCTCAAAATATTTCTGTTCTTCCTGTCTGAAAATGGAACTAATTTGTCTTATTCATGCCAGTATGTGTAATAAATGTAATGAAGTGAGTTTTTTTGAAATGTAAAAATTCACTGTGCAATTCATATGTAAGCAATAAAATGAATCCAAATTACTTCTGTATAAGTACATTTTTATAATAGCTATTATTACAGTTCTTAAATTTATTCAATATTTTGCTTTAGTTTAAAATGAGCCTTAGTAGAAATCAAGTTGCCAAGTGGATTCATCCTCATATACATTGAAGTATCAGAACCAAAACTGCCAGTCATGATGAGATAGAGCTAAGAGAAAGCTCCCAGTGTGAGCCTGTGGAAGCACAGCTGCCATCTCCACATCAGTCTTAATGGTTGTATTTCAACTCTATCTCCTTGCCTGTCTCTCTGAAAAAAAATAGCTACTCTTTGAATTACAGGAAGCCTGTCTCTCTGAAAAAGAATAGCTACTCTTCAGCACCCTCTGCCACCCTGTTTTGCATATTCTACCACTTGTAGATCCGCACATCATAGCCTGATGGGGTGCAGGGACTGGCTTGAGGCAGTGTAGCAAGGCAGTGAGGCGCATGGGCTCTGGGTTCAAATCCAGCCCTGCCGCTTCCTGGCTGAGTGGCCTGGGCAAGTGCCTGAACTTGGAGCTTTGAAGTCCTCTTCTGTAAAATGAGGACAGTATGTTATGCCCTCAGAGCTTATCTGTGAAGAAGTGAATCACTTAGAAGAGGTTCAGTGTGCCATGCCTACATGGCACAGAGTAAGTATTCAATACATGTTTGTCATTATTAATAATCCTCCTTGAGTTCACTGTACTGGCACTTAAGCACCCTGAGCGGCTGTCTCAGTTCTGTAATCTTAGGCCAGTCACTCCATGTTTCTGAACCTGTTTTTTTAGGTATAAAATGAGCAGTCTGTATGATAATGCTTTCTCATATGCTTTCTTTCCAACTCTAGCTTGTTGGATCCTATTACCTGTTCTCTCATCTGATAAATTATTGATCTCAAGTACCAAGTTCAAGAATGAAAAAGGAGAACCAAGGTGAGCATCAAACTCTGCTCTTAGTTTAGCTGTATTCGCCTTTTGCTTACACTTTGAGTCAGAGGCAGACTATTAGGAAGGCACTACCTTAACATAGGTTCTCATAAAACAGAGCCTAAGACAAAGGCTTACATTCAGGGCTTACTCTGGGAAGTGAACCCAGGGCACCCCAGCAAGGGACTGGCCCAGGGAAATGGAAGGAGAAAAAGCTCATTAAGAGGATTCATTTATAAATTGGCCATCGCTCTAGGTGACTGGAGAGCCATACTACTGGACATTCTATAGAGTCTCATGAAATAATCTCAGAACTGTCCACCCAGGTGATGAAAGTCGGGGAAGCATGTGTCCTTTGGCTTCTGTTCTTCATGGTCAAGGGTTGCCCTGGTGGCATTATCTCCCCCACATTTCTGGATTTTGAGTGGTTTCCCAAGGTGTGCCACGGCTCATTCTCAGAGAGGTCCTGCATCAGAATGCAAAAAGTATGGAAGTACAAAATGCAGACTTTGTCAGATCCCACCTCCGTGAGTGAGGCAGGTCCAAGCCTGTGTGGAGCTGGTTATCACAGCAGTGTCTGGAGTAAGAGGTGGGGATTAGACAATGAGATGTCAGGCAAAAGATGTCCAACACAGCACTGTCTAGTCTGATATTTAAGGACAAGACTAAATCTAAGAGCATCAGATTTATAATTTCAGATTTCCCCCATCTTGCTTAATGAGTCAAGGGAGGGATTTTTAAAGATGGGAGATTTTAGGGCGTGTTTGCATGCTGATTAGAATGATACAGAAGAAGAGAGGGATAAGTTGATATAGAATAAAGAAGATATTTGCAGGAATCAAACCCTAGAGAAGGCAGTAGAGCATTGTCCCCAGAACATAGGTGGAGGGGTTGGCCTTTGATATGGATAAGAAACACTTACTGCAACAAGAAGGAAGAGAGACTACGCAGGTAATTTTGTAGCTTTGGTGGCAGGAACATGAGGGCAGTCCCATTGGAAAGCTTTAATTTTCCAATGGAGTATTAGGTGAGATCATTGTTGCTAGACAATTCACGTGTCTCTTGCATTTCTGCATGTCTTGTGAGCCCAGACACTAATTGCCTTTATTCTGGACGATGTTTTCAAAGATGTAGTATAGCAAACAGACTTGGAAGATAGATGGTGTCTCCCTTTGGAGCCAAGGGTAGCCATGCTTATTGTCGAACATAATAAGATGGTGTTTCCTTCTGGGGTAAAGGTCAAACAGGCTTACAGCCAATTATAAAAGTTATAGATTCCCTAAAGTCAGGCTTCTTATATGTAATGAAACCCACGGTGTGTGTAGGTGTCACCTGGCCCTCCTTGCATTACCTCAGGGCTCAAGGAACGAGCGTAAATGCTAATACTCAGGCTACTGCCATTACTGTGTGTAAGCAGTAAAGTCCTTTGTCTCCGACCCGAGCGTCTCATGTCTTCTGCTGACATCTGTGAAATGTGGACTAACTTAAGTTGCGTAAGGTGAAATCTCAGTTCACAGTCTTGACAGTCGTCAGCTGAGAGTGAGGGGGAGTTGTGGGACGTTTGAGGAGAGGAAGAACCAAACAGTTGTCTTGGAGAGCAGAAAAGTCAACTTACTAAGAAAAGGTTGAGCATCCATGTGAGGTTTTGTGGTCATGAACTTGAAGTGAAGTGGGTCAGCTCAGTTGCTTTTTTCCTTCAGCAACATTCAGCTGCCTCGGGTGAAGATGTGGAGAAGGCAGATGGTCACCATACATGGGCTGGCCTAGCCCAGGACTGCCACGGGGAGTGGGCACTTAGTAAATACCTGCTGGGTTAAAGGGAGGGAACGAGGAGCCAGCAAGCAAGTTATTAGTTGCAGCAAATGCCATCGGTGGTGTGCCTTGGCTTTGCCATTTTAGTGCATGCTGGTTGACTGCCAGCTGCTCACACCTGCAATTCTTTGCTTGAAGGGTTTTTCTGGCCATTGGAGCCTACTTGCCCCCAGGTGCAGCAGGCTGGAAGGAAACATCACCCTCCATGGGAGGAGTGGCTCATCTGATAGATGTTGCATTGTCTCTCTTTATATCTCCTTCTTGGGCGTGTGTGTGTATGTGTGTATGTTCTACTTCCAGTGGTAACTGGCTTGATGGTGCACCCTTCATTGTGTGTGTGTGTGTATGTGTGTGTGTGTGTGTGTGTGTATTCTACTTCCAGTGGTAACTGGCTTGATGGTACACCCTTCATTGGCTGCCTTTCCTGTCCTGTCTTTTTTCTTCACACTCCTCTCAGTGTTTCCTCCCCTTCCCAAACAAACTACTGACTCTCAAGTCCTTGTCTGAGGGTCCGCTTCTGGGGGAACCCAAACTTAGGCTGTTAGTTAAGGTCACCTTGTTAAAAAGATTCCAATATGTTGTTTGTGTCAGAAGGTGCTCATCACTGTTCCCCTGGAAGGTAGGGAAGGATCAGCTATTGGCTCAGCAACACAACCTTTTGATTTCTTAAGGTGTTGCCAACTTCAGAGTATTTTCCTGCATGAGAAGGTCAGCAAACACTGAACTCTTTGGAGGCTCTGCTCTCCCGTCTGTCTGGAGGAGGCAGGGACTCAATATTGTCTCACCACAGGACATGATGTATGGGGATTGAGAACCAAGGATGTGATGTGAGCCAAAGTGTGTCCCTGTTGAATGTTGAGGGGTATTCTGGTCGCACATTGCCTTTTGCCTGGTACACAGTGAAATCTAAGTAACTATGGATGAGTGGATGGATGGATATGATTTCAGTTTTCTTTTAATTATCATAATGTTAATCTGCCTATGTCAGAGTGGGCATTTGCATTCCCTAGCCTTCCACCCACTGGGATAAACCCTATTAAAAAAAGTCCAGGACCCAAGACAGGGTAAGAAGTGATTCTCCATGGTGGTGGCTGTGGCATATGGCCACTCTCTTAATAACTCAAGTGGCAAGTGTATTTTTAGGGCACATAGCAGAAGAGCGGTCATCTCAGTCCTTGGCATACATCTTTGGTGGGTACTTGGGGACCCATAGGTGATCTCATAAGATTGAATAAATATACTCCCTTCTGTTTTTCTTGATAGAAGAAAAAATAGCTTTCAGTGGTTGAGGAGTGAAGATGTTTTTTCCTTTCATTGTCTCTGTCATCTCAGCTTTGCAATCTACTCATGCAGCAGTATCTACGACATTTCTTCAAAACAAAACAAAACCAAAAAAGAAAGAAACATTGATTGGAATGTTTATTGAGCTCCCATAATTCACCACAGGAAGTGTGGAAGCACCCCTCGTCTACCTTCTCCAGAGGCACATTTGAATGTGAACTGAGAGTCTCGCTGCCTCTCTTCCCTTTGAGCCTCTGCTTAGAGGACAGAGGAGGATAGAGGAGGAGACTGAGCCCAAAGAGGTGAAGGTCACGGGAGGAACAGAACTACAGGGTATGCTTGTCATTTTCTCTGGGGATCTATCTGGGACCTTGTGGCCTCCCCAGAGGACCAAGTGACTGCCCCATAAATATTCTGGTTCTTCTTAGGCCGTCCATGTGGGGCGTGGCTTCCTCACTGTTCTCCTCAGAGCTGGAGCCAAGGGAGGAAGCTGAAGGCCCTCCGCCCATGCCGTCCTCGCAGGATAGCTGGTGGCCCTGGCACTCTTGTCTGCCTGATGTCTTGAGGCTTTGGTTAAAGAAGGCAGAGGCCATGCACTCGGCCGCTGTCTGGTCACAGGCACAAAGCAGCTTCACACACAGGCTCTGCCCGACACCTTAGAGGGCAAGAACAGAGTAGCAGACATGAGATATCGTAGGATGGCATGTGAAGGCCTCCTTGGCCAGCCTGACTGCCCCTTCAGCCTGTCATCCCATCCCCTATCTTGAACCTCTTGGCGTCTGACATACACTGATCCCTCTACTGGGAATATTCTTGACTTTCTCCTCCTCGTTAACTCATACTTGTCTGTCAAGACACCTGTTAGCGTCTCCTCCTCCAGAAAGCTTCCTGGAGCCTCCGACTAAATGAAGTGTCTTTCCTGTGGACTCCCATCCAATCCCACCCTATGGTTCCTTCTATCACAGCAGAATTTATTTTTTTTTGTTATTTTTATTTGCTAGATCTGGCAACCCTTCCCTAGTTCTTGAATGTTCAGTTGCATGTAGTGGAGGTGGGGATGGATAACATCTGTGACTCAAATGAAATAATGGGTTTGAAGGTGCTTAGACATAGATAAGCGCTCTGCCAATATTATCCTTGTTATCTGTAGTTTTCAAAGACGTATTTGGTCTGCTTAATTTTTTTTGTCGGATCCTACCATGGAGTATTCATCAACCAGATCAACCAGATTTTTTCTCATCACACTACCCTCCAAATCCCCTGCACTGGCCTTGACATCAGCCCAGACGCCCTTGTTGCATTTCAACAGCAGGGAGCAGAAAGAGGCGAGGAAAAACAAAAAGAGCAGAATGGACACACACAAGCCTGCTCCCCCAAAGCAGCTCTCTCCTTCCGCCCCTGTGCCTAGTGTCAGGAAGGCACAGAGCAGCTCCGAGATGCCCTCATTTCTCGTGACCCGACACCGGGATCTGGGACAGGACGCAGCTCAGAGTCCACAGAGGCTCGGAACCGGTTCACTGAAGCTCCATAGTTAGAACCACAAATGCAGGGCTCCTGGATTCTGTGAGAGCGGAGGCGTGGAGGACCCTCCAGCTGAGCAGGTGAGACCTCACGCCATGACTGCATCATCCAACAATAATAATCTGATCCTGTCACTCAGGGGCTCTAAACCCACCCCCGGCTCCTCGTCCCCCGAAGGACAGAATGTCACTGTTTCAGACTTGGCTTCATGGTCTGTTACTTACCTATCTCCCCAACCTCACCTTGCACCACAGCAGCCCTCCAACTCCCACTTTCTGTCCCAGTGACACAGAACCATGTGTAGTTCCTAAACTGCCAGGAGGTCCCCAAATGCCACGATTTTTCTCTTCCCCTTTCTTGGAACACCCACACCGGCGTGGCCACCTGGGAATCTGTTAACCTCCTGTAAGATCTCACCTCACTACCTCCTCTGACTTCTGAATTCTCCATCCTCACTGCCAAACTCTGCAGGCTCAAACCCCCTTTACCCGTGCTCCCGGGGCACCTGTACTACCTGCCTGGACGTATTACATGAGATTAGGATAGTTACTTGCTTGTCTCTCTTCCTTCCAGGCTGTGAGCAGTTTGAGGCAAGGATCATGCATGTTTATTGTTTTCCTAGTTCCCAGTGAAGGTTTGTTGGACAACTGGGTAATTGAATGAATGAATGAATGAATGATGACTGATGTGTAAGCACAGAGCTCCCGAGAAGTGAGAGGCGCACGTGATCCTACAGGACCGGATGGCATGGAGGTCCGTGCAGTGTGCTGAGGGAGCGCAGAGGAAGGAAGGGGGACTGAAGGCTCAGCCAGCGGGCCTCCCCAGACAAAAAATGAGGATGAGAGCAAACCCTCACGGAGCTCTTGTGAGATGCTATGGGGAGCATTTCCATTTAAACTGCAAAGCCTAAGGGAAGTGCCTCCACTGATGTGGACGTGGACACGGAGCCAGAGAATGTAGAAAAAGCCAGCACTAAAGCAAGCCTCACTGTAAGAGTGGTGCTCATGGGGTGTGGCAGTTTTCACATGTCCCCTGATGCCCTGAACGGCCCCAGAGGAGCCTCGGGCTTCCAGGATAGGGAGGAGTGGGCTGCAGGCCCACCATTCTCTTCAGCCAGAGCCACTCCCCTTTTGTTTCTCAGAGATCTCACTTGGGTAAAGGTTTCTGCTTGTTAGGAAAAGAGACCCCCTGGTGCAGTGAAGACTCGTCCTGGCTCTGAGGCAGTCTGGTTTTACAGCCCCAATCCCAGTGCTAGCACTTCTTCCTGTATGATCTGGCGCCTTGGCCGCCTGCATGAGCCAGGAAGACTCAGAGTGCCACCTCGTAGGACTGTCGTGAGGATCAACTCTGCTGACGCATCTCGAGAGCTTAGAAGGGCGCATCGCAAGCACTCAGTGCGCCTGGGCTGTTTGCTTCCTAACCAGCTCTGTGACTTCGGGCAGCTGACTTAGCTTCTTGAACTTGAGTCTCCTCCTTAGTGGGACAGGGGTACGTATGTGCAGGGGTACAGAGTTAAGAAGAGTATAAGTCACATAACAGCTGAGAAAGGCTTGGGAAAGCATCCATAAGCATGGGCTGTGGCTGTGATGCTGACCAGAATGAAGTAATACCTCACTGTGCAGCCCCACAGCACTTACACTTGGGCGCACCATCCACGCACACCACCGGTGACTGAGGAAGCCTCTCGGGCAGGCAGCCTAGCCTTCGCACCTGCTCCAGGCAGCAGTGATGGGACAAACAGCACCTAAGACCAAGGAAAACCTTTTACTGCCCAGAGCTCCCAGCTTCCCCAGGAACTACCTCAAGACCTGCTTGTCCCACACCCCCTATTGTAATGAGAGAAGCCAGTGCTCCTTTCCAGTGCATTTAGGACTGATGTATATACACATCAAGGACCACCATCTGTGGTTGCTCAGGTTGTGTACTGCACAAAGATGCCACAGCTAAGGCAGTATCAGTCACACCATATGTATCTTATTATTTAAAATTTTTTTTTGTATTTTCATTATGACTCTGTTGATTGCAAAGATGGGTGATTTGCATATTTATTACAATAATTTTCTAACAGATGGAAATAAAAGGTCTTAAGGAAGGGGTACCATTTTCATTGTGCACAAAGGTACCATATGGGCTAGTGGTGACCCCTCCACCCACCTTTTATATAATAGATCAGTTAGTCACACATCAATAGGGCACCCCACTTTGTCCCCAGCTTTGAAAGAGAGCAGAGTAACTATCTTGAGCTTAACAGTGTCCAGCAGGGAGCAAGACCTCAGTAAACATGGGAAGAAATCAGTGTCTTGCTTTTTAGACCCGCCCATCTGGCCTGATAAAGCCTCACAGTGTCCAGTGTCCCCCCAGCCCGATGGACATCCCGAGGAAACTTATGATAGCTCCAGCCAATAGGGGCTACAATTGCTCCCTAAGTCCTCCCGTTTCAACTGTTCCCTGTCCTTCAGTAACTCTCACTGGATCTTGGAGGCCACGGCCAGAGCAGGGCTCAGTCAGAGACTCGCAGATTTGATAGCACTGTGCTCAGCCAAGTCAGCTTCACCAACCTCTCCAGGTGGCCAGCAGTCAAGGAACAGCTCCACCTCCCCTGTCACATGGCCAATGGCTGGAGCTTGGTGACGGCTACGAATGGCAGCCCCCGTTCGGCTGTTCTTACAGCAGAGTCATGCTATCTTGTGTGTGCATTGGGCTGGGGTGGGCGGCCGTGGGTAGTTAATAGAATAGTTAAGATCAGAAGTCAGTGAATTAGAAATCATATATGATCAAGGTACCCTTGAGAATCACTCAAATTGTCCAGAATGTAAAGTATGCATGGTTTTGAAAAGAGACTCTTGCAGAAAATGATACCATTTTGACTGACTCTTCCTTAGTCAAGGCTAGGGAGTTCAGGTTTTCAGTTGCTTCCTTATGGACGCCGAGGAAGCCGTATGATGACTTACTTGCCTGCCTGGTCAAATCTCATGTTGTTGTGCAGTCTGGTCAGTGATGAGGAACCTCTTCAAAAGCACCCCACTTTCTTTCCATGGGGCTCCACAGAACACAGTGACTACTGCTGCCTCGATGTCTATCGTTTGCCTTATATCATTGGGTGCTGTGGACTCAAGAGCAGTATTTAAATTGTTCTCTGTCTTGGAGAGTGGAGGCCATATTTGTCAAACTCCTAATGTAAACATGCTTATGATTCCACAGTGTGGTACATGCTTTGCTAGAATAAACACTTCTGAGTGTCACCTGGTGGAGGTAAGTTTTGAAGGCTGCCTGTGCAGCAGAGCCCCTGATTTCACTGAATGCCCTGCGGAGGGTGGATGATGGGCCTGGATGACTGTGCAGTGGAGACGGGACAAGGAACTACGGAGGAGGTGGGTGGGTGGGTGAGTAATACAGCCATCCAGACACCATGTGACCTATAGTTGACATGTTCCATGTTCCTGCCATTACCGTATCCTTTGTATTAACTACAACAAGATTGTCTGTTTCCTTTTTTCAATATCAGCCATAGTGGTTGATTTCCCCTTGGCAACCACACCATCCGAGGGGGGCATATGCCTTTTCAATGCAGAGCTCTCACTTGGCCGTGGACTGGGGCACATGTGCAATCAGTCTTTAGACTTTATCAACTCTGCTCTCAGAATGTTCCTCAAACTCCTCTCAGGTTGATTTCTCCATCATTTCCTGTTTCTCCCACCACATTTATTATATTGGGTGGTATTTTTGTTTAATTGTCCATCTCTTTCACTTTGCAAGCTCCTGTTGGGCACAGGCAGTTTGTTTTGGTCTGCTTTGTTTAGATTTAATCATTTTTGTGTCTCCACCACCTAGCATAGTGCCTAGCACAGAGCAAAAGCTCAAGAAATGTGGGTTGAATGCATATATAAATGAATGAATGAATGAATGAGGTCAGTGAAAATTCTTCCAAGAGTGGTAGATATAAAATTTAGCAGTTACATTTAAAAGTTGCTGAGAAGCTAATTTCAGTGTGGCCTCTTGCAGAGCAAATCAACTGGAGACCCCAATTCTACGTGTTGCTCATTGCAAAATAGGCAGATTTGGGGTCTTCTGAAGTGTCTTTGCAGATCGACCCTCTTAGGGCAGCTGGAAAGTATTTGTGGTAGGGATAAAAGAGCTCTAGACTCCCAAATCAAAAGATCTGGATCCATCTGGCTCTGTCCCTTCATAGCCGAAAGACCTCAGACAAGTTTGAGCTGCAGCTGCTCAGCAGGAAAATGGGCCTATAATGGCAGCGAGCCACCCTGAGTGAGATAATGCGTGCAACGAGCTCTCTGTGCAGTCTGCAGTGATGTCCACCGTGGAGGAGGCTCATCACCTCGCTGCTGGCAGCATCAGCACTGCTGGCCTGCCACCCCTTCCTGTCCCTACCTGTCCAGAGCATCCCTCGGTTCACCTCGTCCTTCTTGGCCACAGTAACAGCCGTAAGATTCAAATTCCTCTGGGCACCGGGATGTCAGACAAAAGAGCATCTCTCCAAGCTGTGGCATCACCCACGTGTTGTCCTCGCTTCCCAGGTGCAGGAAGGTGAACCTGTCACAGGCTGATGAGAAACAAGGACTCTCAGGGGAGCAAGGAACGTGGGCAGTGATCCACACAGGCACTGATGGGACGAGGAGACCCTGTGTTCTCTGTCTCCCATCGCCGTTCTTCTGGCGAAACTGTTTTCAGGCTAGTACCCCTGTCTGAGACAAGTTGTCTTTCAGAGAGCAAGTCTTAAATCCCCCTAAGGCATGGAGACTCGTCAGGACCAAAGATGCTCTTCAGGCCACATTTTATTACTGAGTGGAGTAACTGTGTCTCGCTCAGGCCCCCACAGGGCCCAGCAGCCTGGGGGCATCCTGGTTGTCTTCTTAGGCTGCCTGGCTCCATCAGGCTAGCACACCCTGGCAGGGCCTGCCTTTCAGAATCTGGATTCTCTTTCTCTGCCTCTGTCTTTCTTTCTGCCTCCCCACTCCCTCCTCCCCTCCTCCTCTGCCTGTAACTTTGGGTGAGTTAGGCTAGTCTCCTATACAAACTCTATCACCATAGGTTGGGTGGGGGTCCTGGCCCAGCCTCCCTCTCAGATCAGCTTTCTCCACAGCTCTGCATGGCATGCTGTGGAGGGCTTGCCCAGATATTAACAAAGTCCTCCTCTGGGTCCAACTGGCTGTGGCTCCTTGCAGATGTAGGGCCTTTGGAAAGGCACCCCGAAGGAGGAGAGACAAAGGGAGGATTATTAAAACCCAAGCGTTTCCTTCTTTCCAACAAACCATGGTGTGAACGATGCCAAGCTCCTTCCTTCTGGGCCAGTAAGAGTGGTGAGAGCAGTTGGTCAGGGGGGTCCTTGCCCCAGCTCAGCCTCCCAGGAGCTGAGTGGCTACAGGCAAATCACATCCCCTCAGAGCCTCACGTGCTCAGCTGGCAAGGGGGATGGCACCTTCTAGTTGCACCAAGATGAGAAGGTCACACTGTGATACAGTG